CACTTTGACCCCCCTCCTACCACCTCCCTCCCCCCTCCCCCTTCTCCCCCTCCTCCGCACAAACACATAAAACGACGAGAGAGAGGGAGAGAGGGGAATAGAGGGAGCAATGGGCTGATACCTGTCTCTTATACACATCTAGATGTGTATAAGAGACAGGATCCCATCTCCCCTTCCCTCCCCTTCGATCGCTCGCTTCCCTTGCTGCCCCCGTTCCGCTGCTCGATCGAATTCCCACCCGCCCACCCGCCCCCCATTGCCTTGCTATTCCGGATCCCGCTCTTCCTATCACTGTCGACAGTGTCGAGCGGAATTCACCAAGTGGTGATCAAAATCCTATCAATCAATCAATCAATCAATCAATCAATACAATCAATCAATCAATCAATCAATCAATCAGTCGGGATCCCGTTGAACGGATTGGTTCAATAGGATCTTCATCAAGATCCTATCGAACCAATCGGTTCGACTATCAATCGATCAATCAATCGGGATCCCGTCGAACCGATTGCCTACCTATCCGTCTATCTATCTGTCTACCCACCTGTCAATCAATCAATCCACCCCCCCCAAACACCCCACCATCACACCTTGCACACCATATCTGAATCTTTTTTTCGTTTTTGCTCAGAACAGCCTGAAATTTTTTTTGGGGGGTCCCCTAGTGGTGCGCAGACCCCCCCCCCTTTTTTTTTTCTTCGTTTTTTTTTTTGGCAAAAAAGCCATTGTCCGATTTTCCGGACAACTCCCCCCTGACCGTCTCCCGGAGACGTCCGGGGGAGACGTCTCCCAATCGGACAGCTGGTAACCTGTCTCTTATACACATCTAGATGTGTATAAGAGACAGGGGTTTAGCCCATGTGGTGCGCGCTCTCACTGCGCCCCCACTTTTTTTTTTTTTTTTTTGAATTTTTTTTTTTGGGGGGGGGTCTGGAGCCGGGGCTGGGGGTGCCCACCCCCGGACCCCCGGACCTCCGCCGGGGCCCCGGGGCCGGGGCTTGACAACCCTGGTCAAAGCACTATGGTACTATACGGAAGGGGGGAAAACAGGACCAGCACCCACCACATGGG